CTGAAATGGCCTTCCATCTCCTCAACTTCTAAGCAGACCTAAACGACTTTCAACCACCACGTAAAGTTCAGAAAACGAGATTCTGGAGAAGGAACCGCGATATTCTGTGGATCGTTTCATTGCTGACAGAGGGTACGCTCAATTATGACCTCTTGCAATAATACGCCTAGGGGAAACTGTCTGAGCCACGGGAAAAATTTAGATCAGAAACTAGGAAGTGCTTTCAAGTGATTCAAAGACCTGCACGAACCGCTGACAAGCGAACGACCTGACAAGGGTCGGAAAACAGTTGGATGTAACTTAGTCCCTACACGGGAAAATTGCTGGCAGAAGTCACAGGAAAACACGGAGAGAGATTTCGTATTAACCAGACAGCCAAAACCTCCGAAACGAGAGGACATTGAAGAAGGATAAAGCTATTTCTTTGGTTTATTCTGGTCGTTTCCTTATATCTGAATACCAGCTGTATTTCGAACTTACTTGCCAGTAAGTGCGAAATACAGCTAGTATTCAGATCCCAAAAACCTCTATGGAACCAGCTAATGCAGGTTAAAACAATCGAGCCAAAATCTCAACAACAAGGCTGGAATTACACCCTAGTTTGTGAATGAGGTCTCAGTGACAAGAAAAGCCAGCAACACCATAGGAGAGAGGAACATGTCAGTAATTTCACTGGACGGTACAACGCCGTTCTATTTCAGAATGTACAAGCACACTGAAGACATTTGAAAAAAATTACAAACGATTTCATCATCGCAAAAGTGATTTTACTCTACAAAAATGGAGACAGAGAGAATCTGAAGAACTACAGGCTGATCAATTTGCCAATCACCCTTCAAGATCTTCACCAAGGCATTTACGAACAGACTTCGAGAAAACTGGACTCTGTACAGCGAAAGAAGCAAGCAGGATTTAAAAGTGGATGTAGTACGATGGAACATTTTCAGGTGGTAAAACAAAGAATTCAGCCAAGCAGAGAACATCAACTTCATTTCTGCCATTGAGAAAACTTTCGACTCAATCGACACCCGGTCTTTGGTGAATTAGTTGAGGAGTGAGGGAATCGAGAAAAGACACAGAGACCTCATCACTATGATTTACAAGAATGCAACGGCAAGGATGAAGCTTAAAACGTAAGCAAAAACAAGTTCAAAATCGGAAAGGGCGCCCGACAAGGCGATTCAGCATAAATGAAGTCATTCATGGCAGCCCTAGAAATTATTTTCAGGACACTTCGCTGAGAAAATCAAGGGCTGAACATAAACGAACCTGCGCAAGCAATCTGTGCTTTGCGGACAGTGCTCTGATCATTCCTCGGTCATGAGAATAATTCAAGAATGAACGACATCAGCATCATAGTAGGACTGAAAAAGAACCCGAGAACGACTCAAGCTGTGTTTCCCAAACACGTTCCCGGGCGACCTGCTGAAGTCAATGAACTTAATCTTAACGGAAAACCGACTATGCGAAATCAACAGAAAAATAAAAATGGTACGCAAAACTTATGAAACAATGAAAATGTTCCCATATATATGTATATATTCACAGGTATACAAACAATGCAGCGATGAATTATTTACATAAATTGGTGCTAGTTTATTGAAAAGACAGAGAACGACCGTCGACACATATTTAAATACTGGCAGCGCAAGCTGTTGCTGTAACGAAATTTAAAAAAAAAGTCGCGAGACGCATCGGTGCATCGAGGTGCTAAAATGCCCCTCGGGCAGTGACCAAGCTAAATTGACCCCTGAACTTCTACGAAACAATGGAATGTAACAACACCATGTAAACACACTAGCTGGGTGTTATTGCACGTAACATTTGCGTATTTTTCTCGTAAGTTCATCACACACGGCACAGAGAGGCATCGGTTGAACGACGTAATACTACATAACAGCATAAACATCATTATTTCGTTAAATTGCGATTCACTGTTCATTAGCAGGACGCTTCCTGCTTGCAATGTGACCAAAGTTTGTACTAAATCGCTACTATCAGCTACGTGAAACGTTTTCAAAGAAACCTGTAATTCACGTATATACAGCCAACTGAGTTTAAATACGAATACAAACTTACAGAGATCATTTATTACGCAATCGCGATTCAACTCTGGCGAACAGATTCGCCTTTTCGACAAGACTTTTCATTGCCCTGAAAAGGAACGGCAAAGTCGCACGCGTCACAACTCGGTTTTGGGTAAGATTTTATCAAAATTCTTATTAATAACATGATATATGAAGCAGAGACTTTAGAAAAGCTTCATGCAACATTAATTGCATACAGTATTTAGAAGTGACCGGAAAAGTTCGAGAACTATTCACTATGAGGGTCCGCATTCGGAGGTACGACCTAATTTACATCGATTTAACTGATCAATGACACCAGTGACTCATGTTTTTAAAGACAAAGTCTACAGCGATTTGCTAAGCGTAGTGGGTAGACCACTTTTTTTCAGTTTCTTTCCCACAGAGTGGTACTCACTTATCAACCTCGGAAGGAAGAATGACGAGTGACTCAGACCAAGGATTGAACTCGACACCTCTGGTTCGGAGATAGATGCACCACAGACTAAATATCCCGATCTGAATAAACGTGTTCAAGGGAATTCATGAATAAGACAAAGGTTGCCGTCGTGCAGGAATCGAACCCGTACCTACGGAGTTCAAAGCAAACTTCTCAGACAATGTGCCACCTCACGACAATCGACAGGACGCACCTGTCAACGAAAGAAACGAACAATTTCTCGGAAAGGAAGAATATTCTCGGTTCTCGTAGCAAAGTATACAGTGACTTCCGCGCCGATGGAAAAATCTAAGTTAGCTGACTCGATCATGTCAGTGCGCGGTTTATGCAGGTTTCATCAACAAACTATGACGAGCAGCCACATTGTCAAGCAGGACAGCTGTATTAGCCGAGAAAAGGAAATAGTCAAAACCGCTGTGCCACTTTTTTTCGATTAATCACCAACGCGTTCCTCACCAACCATTGTTCAGTCTCGCACAATGCACCTAGGGAAAAGGTAACCGTTTTTCTCGCTCCGAGCAGTCAGACGGCCCCAGTTTGCCCAGCACATTTATGGCCTGTGTGTACAAGTCCATGGCATAAAGCTGAATAACAGATGACGGAAAATGGATACCTGTAAGCCGGAAAAGTTATTCCCCAGTACGACGTAATACCGCTCTCTATAATCAAACGTCGGCAAACTCGTTGCGGAGAGCAAACCACGAATAATAAACACGGTAACTACGAAGCACGGGGGAAGGCATATTCTTGAGCTGAAACGAGAGTTGGCTGCGAACCTTGTGAAAAACCGCGAAACGGTCAAACAGTGCGGCCGTGGCAAACCAGGGTTTACAGTACGCTTACGCTTTTCAAGATAGATCTGCCTAAGAGAAAGGCTATTTCATAATGCTATGAAATATATCTGGACCTAAGGAATGGAGACATTGAGACCACCGTATTTATTTATCCGCAAGGAGTGCACAGTGAAACCCTTTAATCGCGCCATCAACTGTCTGCGTTGAGGACCAGGATTCGCAGGCCGGATCGAAAGACTACCCGGACGTAGGCTGGTGTATGACAACAGGAATGACCAATATCATTATCAGTTCAAAGCGACGATGACGCCATGTACGAGTTCGGGTGGCGCCGTGTTAGGCCGGTAACAATGATGCTCCAACAGACACTCTGTTCGTTCAGCTTATGAGCATCATTCTCTATTAAGAGGACAGACAAAAAAGTAAACATATATACTTTCCTTAAGATTAATAAAGACATCACTCCTCGCCTTGTTTTGCCTTTCGTATGGATCTGTAGTCACAGTGATTTTTGCCTATACAGATCTATCTTCATAAAGGAGCTTAATAAACCCTTGATGCCAATGCCTGTTACCCAACCGCTCATGACAGCTTTCACAGTTACGGTAGCCGCTGATGATCATAAGCTTCGCCCTGTCGTGTGATTCGCTAATCCGGCAGTTAACAGTTCTTCGTGACTAAGAAGTTCAATAATAAACGATGAGGAACAATATCACAAAACAGAAGAAACTAGCATC